CTGCTGGCCTATTTATTACAAAACTAAGTCAATACTGCAATCAGTGAGCCTTGTTCTGTTTGTGCTTCTTGAGGAGTTATTTCATGAACAACTATTAGTGTGTGCATGGCTTTGTGTGTGCAAATGATTCTATTCCTTTTTTTTCGCAGGTCATTCAAGTGTTGTCTTTAATTTTTTTTTGTAGAGTAGGGCTTCCAAACAGCATAGAATAATTCTTTTTTTATAATGGCTAACTCTGAATGTCATTCCAAATATTATTGAGTTTCTTTTGTGGCTAAAAGAATGAGATTGACTGTTTGTGCTTCTTGAAGAGTTATTTCATGAACAACTTTTGATGTGTGCACGACTGTGTGGCTTGTGTGCACAAATGATTTTATGCTATTATTTTTTTCACAGGTCATTCAAGTGTTCGCTTTAGGTTTTTGTAGAATGTGGCTTCCAAATGGCATTAAATATAGAATTCTTATTTTTTATAATAGCTAACTTTGAATGCCATTCCAAATGTCTGCGAGTTTCTTTTATGGCTAACGGAATGAGATTAATCAAAATTTTGCTTGTTTAACCATATTATGTACCTATTTTTACACCAGTATGCAAGTTAATAAAGAGAACTTTGCTTTAGTGTAATATAATTTATCAAATCATTTGCCCATCAAATAATCTACAGATACTACACTAATGAAGTATATGGTTAGCATATAGCATTAGTTAGTACATATATCACCTGATGCGGGAAATCCCGGGATCCCGGGAAATATCCTGGTTTGTCCCAGAATCCCGGGATGCTAAGAAACCCCAAAACAGGAAACCCTAGTCAATGGCCGTCTTGACAGATATTGCAAGTCAATATCAGTCCCATTCAATGACAACTGGGACAACTTCTATGGCAGAAGGGACCTTTATGCGAGGGATGGGGTGCATCTGTCGAGGGATGGGGGTGGCAACCCTGGCCGGTTCTCTCGAGAGGGCAGTTCAAAAGATGTCAAAGTCTTTAAACTGCTAGGAGAACATTATGAGCACGGGGGTGGAGGAGACTGCAGTGGGAGCGGATAAACAAAGTGAAAGGTTACAGAGAAATAATGCTAGGAATGATGACAAAACTAAATTAGGCAGGGAGTTAAAACCTAAACGGGACAAAGAGAGGACTCAGAACACGACTAACTTAAATGTTTCCTACGCAAACAGTAGAAGTATGGGAAACAAAATGGCTGAAATCAGGGCGTTGGTATGTACAGAAACAATCGATATACAGTGGTCCCTCGGTTAACGAACAGTTCAATTTACGAAATTTCAGTTAATGAATTAGCTTCCATAAGGATCTTCAATTCGGTTAACGAACAAAACTTTGATTAACGAAATCCTTACGACAAACACATTTTGTTGTGAGCATCAGCTGATTGGCCAATATCGTAATCTGTCCTATGTTTACATTCGTTTCCAGTGGAGTAAATATCAAGAAAATTGTGTTCTTGAATATTTGTGCATTTTTTATATTAAAATATTTGCCATTCTAAAATTTAGCCATCCAAGCTCTGTCTACATAAAGTTTTTCAACTATTATTTTTGGCTTGTATGTAACTTTATTCATTTATTGAAACTCATTTACATGCACACACACTGTCCTAAGGGCAAAGCTGTATTGTACATGCAATAAAAATAATGTACAAAATGATTCCTAAAATTTTTGTCTAGTGCAAACTATCGCATGTTTACATTCAAATTAATCACTCTCTTATAAGAATTCCTGCAATGTAAGTTATATTCTCCCCGGTCACTTCTATGACATTTTATAAGCAAAAAACAGAAACTCAATCTAAAGGACATAAATAAACAAATAAATACTTCACTAGACTTTCGGTGCTAACTGTCAAACATGTCACTTTTTTCTCCCCTCCCTCCCTCCCCCCACCTCCCAGCAAGGGTTTGGTGGTTATACAGTATGCTTTAAGTTTTTATCTTATATAATATCACAGACTAAAGTTAGAACATAATTTGCATTGCTGGAATCCTTGCAAGACAGTGAATAATTTAAATATAAACGTCATATATTTTGCACAAGAGATAAAAATTTTAGTACATTAGTGTACTGTAGTATATTTTATCATGTAAAGTTTTTCAATTGTATTTTTGGGTAGATTTACATAAATTTCTTCATTTATTTTCATTCATTTACATGCACACACCATACTAAAAGAAAAGTAAAAGAAATAAATGACCTAAGTGCAAACCTGTTCTGTACATGTACTAAATGATTACGGTACTAAAATTTTTATTTCTAGTGCCAGTTATAGCTTGTATATATTCAAATTAATCACTATCTTACAAGAATCCCAGCAATGTAAATTATATTCTCCCATGTCATTTCACTGGCATTTTAAAATGAGAGAAGCTTAGTCACTTAAGAACTGATAAATAAACACACATTAGACCTTGGGGGCCAACTGTCAAACATATCACCTCACCTCACCTCCCCCCCCCATGCTCCCTCTCTCTCCCCCATCTGCCAAGCCAGGGTTTTAGGCTTACAGTTTTTATTTTATATAATATGTCAGACTAAAGTTAGGATAATTTAATATGCATTGCTGGAATCCTCACAGACAGCGAATAAATCAAATTTAAACGTCATATATTTTGCACAACAGATAAAAATTAATCACCTGTATCACATTACAGCAGTAATTTAAGAGTACAGTACTAGTGTATATGTATGTATATGCAGTGGTCCTTCAGTTAACGAACGCCTCGGTTAACGAAATTTCGGTTAACGAATTACCCTCCATAAGAATCTTCATTTCGGTTAACGAACAAAAATTTGATTAACGAAATCCTTACGAACATTACTGGTATACAGTACTTTCTATGTACTTTTTCTGTGAGTTGGAACCAATTACCCAATATCCCATTGAAATAATGGATTCGGTTAACAAACGACTCTGTGGAATGAATTGTGTTCGTTAACCGAGGGACCACTGTAATAGCATTCACCGAGACATGGATAAACCTAGACTCACGTGAGTTACCTGTCGAATACAAAATTGCAGGTTATAAATCATTTCATACCGATAGGCAGATTAGGAAAGGAGGAGGAGTAGCAATCTATGTCAGGGATAATCTGAAGTGTGAAATAAATAAGGAAATAAAAACTGAGCGAAATACAGAAACAATTTGGATAGAATTAATAGATGGAAGGGAAAATTAATCATAGAAGTAAAAATATATAGACCTCCTAATCTTGATGGAGTTAATGAGCGACTTATTTGAGATGAAATGCGCAGTGCTTCCATACAGAGCAATGTCTGTATAGTAGGCGACTTTAACTTTTGCCAAATAGATTGGATTGACCTTATGGGTAACTCAGAATTATTAATACAACAATTTAATGTATCCCTGATGAAGAGTGCAACCCCTCCCCCCTTCCTACCTTCCCTGTCCTTGTGAAAAAGGTTGTACCTTTCTATGTGGTACTCTGATAAAAAGTTCTTGCTCGTAATATTCATCCAAGTTTCGGTGATTGCTATGACGTCTACATTCTCGGTACATACAACCGCTCTCAGCAAGTCTATTTTATATTTAACGCTCGTAATTGAGTGAGAAAAGGTGGGGGGAGGGGGGGGGGAGAGAGAGAGAGAGAAAACTGACTTTGCGGCCCTCCTCCCCGAAAAAAACACACACACCCACCCACACACACTCACTTCAACACCACTCACATACCTCACATACCCCTAACATGGTAATGAAGACAGCAGACTTAATTACTGAGGGTCTTATTGTGTGACAAATTTACGAGTGTGTGACTGCAAGTTAAATATCAGCTGTTGAGAAGTACTTGGCAACACTCCTTTCCACTCCTTCTCTCTAATCACCCACACCTTTCTGCTTTCTCACTCCATATTTTAAAATGTTATGTAATGTAATGTTGAAGGGATACAACTTTGCTCATTTATACTCATTAAAAATACTTTAGGCTTCACGTTTATTCAAGACATCTTCAGGTCATGAGACCCACTAATCCCCCACTCAAGAAAGGGTGACCTGACATTCCATCAGGTCAGTAATACGAGACCACTAATCCCTCACCCTACCTCCACCTGACGTAGCATCAGGTCAGGCCAGTTACAAGAGACCCACTAATCCCCCACAGCTCCACGGGAGTGGAGAATACCAGTTTTTGCTGTAACACGCAACTTCATTCATGCCCATATCATATAGATTTTAATTTTTAAATATATTAATTTAACCAATCTTTTAAATAAACTATTCTGGATTATCATAGTAAAGAAATGGAGTTTCTAACTTAATTAGAATTGCATTTACGGACTCCAGTAGTTTAGACTCGAGGAAAACATCCCCAGCACCCAGAAACATTCTGGGGAAGTGGGCTAGTGTCTGTGTGTGCAAGATGTCTAGTTTAGACACTGGGAAACTTTTCCCAGTAACCGGAAGAGATTCCAGGATAAGGAATTTTTCCGGATGAGAGAAAGTCGTCTGGTTAGCCGGAAATCTCTCATCCCCGGAAGTGCTCTGCACCAATTGTTCCAGCTAATGGGGATATCACTGTGTTATAAAGACATGCAACATATACAGGTATTATTACAAAACATTGAGAGTCACTTCGCAACCAGGCATACCAACCATTCTGAAATGACACGATCCATAGGGCTCATTCTGAAATGTCATGCCCGGCTGTTGAAGAACTTTTTGTGGCGATTATACATACAGTATAGCAAGCATAAAATCTGCAGGTTCAAAATCCTTACTATAGTGTTTGTTTTATGATTTTATTATTGTCAACTTTATAAGGTTGAATGCAAGAATTGTGGATGTAGAATGATTTTTCCTTTAGTGTATGTATTAACTTTATTTTTTATGGGTCCTATATTTAAGGCAATCTCTAGGACCACATCCCAATGGGAATCAAGGAATTATTGCAATCATACAGGTTTAATAATGTCACACTTATACCAGATACTACAATTATGGAAAAAGGGTAAGTACAGTACCTGGTTCTCTGACATGCACGTGAATGTCAATGAGTCCTGGAAGCTTGACAATCCTGCGAGATGTGACACAATCAACGTGAGTCTTGATGTCAGGTGCTCCTCCAATCAGACGCAAAGCCTAGAAAATATATACTTTTTATCACCCAAGTTCTTTGATGTACAATAGGTACATTAATGAAAATAAATATCAACAGAGCAAATGCAAACACTACCCAAAAACCAACATTGTTCTGTGGCAGTGTAAATATTGAGATACTGAAACTGATACTATATTGCTGGAAACTGTCTTAGATCATTATTTCTTTAGGTGCCAAAACACCCTGTATGTTATCATAGTGTTATTGAGTTATTATGGCAAAGTGTGCACATGGATATAAGCAGTCAAACATGCACACACACATGTGCATACATGCACACACATACACACACACACACACACACATTGGGCTGTAATAATTAACTTGGTTGGATAATGACATCTGGATACTTTAACCCTTATATTTCATTTTATAGTCCAGGACTGAGGCAAGTGCCCAGTGATTGTCCAGCACATTTCATCCTTACCATTGGTATAAAAATAATCAGTGAAATTTTTGGGGGGAAAACAATGAAGTACGTACAGTTTTCCCTCTACAACTGTGTGGGTTAGGCTCCTGAAAAACCTCATGGTTGGGAAAACCACTGTTGGGAAGGGCTTGGCCCTTTGGAAAATAAGGGGTTAGGTTACCAGACCCCCTTACAGACATGCCCCGAGTCCTATTTTGTTAACTTTATGGAGATACTTCAAAATACATGTTTTATTTTCCACTTTAACTGTACCCACGTTGTTGGTCAATGACCTGTGCTCGGATAGGCTATTCCCAGGCTTTGTGTGAAATATAACATAGTCTAGAACTGCTTTTAGTGTCTTTGTGGCATGGTCGGTAGCATTCCCTGGTCCCACACAGTAGGTCGAGGGTTCGAGTCCTGGCTGGTGAGGTCGTTGATTATATGTTCAAAGTCCGCATGTTATATGGACTAAAAATGAAGTATATATGGTACCTCGTGTTTCATACCAGCAGGATTGGGTAAAATGCTACTGACATCCACATAAATGGCACGGGCAGTTCCCAATGGGCGGTTCACGGCGCCATCAGCTCGATGAACAGGCTTTGTGTGAAATATAACATAGTCTAGAACTGCTTTTAGTGTCTTTGTGGCATGGTCGGTAGCATTCCCTGGTCCCTGGAGCGTACGCCAGCTCCAAGTAAGGTTAGAATTCCTGCAACTGCCTAGCTTATACTACAGACCTGCAAGGGGCGACCTAATTGAGGTGTATAAACATCTCAGAGGGCACTTCTCGGTCGAATGTACATACCTGGAGCTGGTGGACGCCTGCCCCACAAGGGAATACTTCAAGGTTGAAGGAGCCACAAGTCCAGAACACTGCGAGGACAAACTTTTTCTGAGTGAGAATTGTGAACTCTTGGAATAATCTACCAGAGTCTGCTGTGACAGCCAACATTGCGGAACAGAGATGTGACTGACTGCCAAAACGGCAAAAGAGCTGATCAGTGGCGAATAGGATAAAAATAAAAGTAAAGTGAAGAGCTGCAGAAAGGTCTCTGTGAGCTTCAAGAATGGTTGAAGGAATGGCTGCTAAGATTCAATGTCACGAGATGCAAGAAAATGCACCTGGGTCGTACCAACATTAAGGAGGCGTATCACATGTCCCAACAGGACAAAGAAACTGCATTAAAAGAAACTGAATATGAAAAGTACTTGGGTGTGTATGTTAAGAATGAATGTAAGTTCTCGGGCTATGATGAGAAGCAGGTGAATAAAGCAATGAAACTCCTAAGTCTATAGTGGATACTCTCCCCTACAACTGCTGACGGATGACCTGCCATTCGCTTACCAGACAATCAGCTTACAGCCAACGACGTCGACAGACTAAGTCTCACGTACGGACATAGGAGTAAGATCGCAGACCTAGCTTGGACCGTCACCTTACGCCCAGGATCAGCGCATCAGCCGTCTCGCGAGTACTGCACGGTGATTGGCCCCGCACAGTTCACACCTCGCGTCTCTGATCCTGAGCAGCCGTATAAATACGCATAGGCCTGGCTATGGAGCTCATTCTACTCTACTCTCCTGAACCAGCAAGACCTCTCAACAGTGCCTCACCAACCAGCTCCCTCAGAAAGCTCCTCACCCAACAGGACCTCTGAGCAAGCTTCTCACCACACAGCAACTCCCTAGCACTGCACTGGACATACAATATATAGTATACAGAAAATGCATTGTGAGTTTCTATTCTACCTCCATCCTGAGTGTGAGATATCTTACATGTACATACGTATGTGAGCCCATACAAAGAGATAGTAGACAAGCAAAGAGAATTTGACAACTGGCCACATACAGTACGCTACAATTGGTGACCCCTGGAGGTGTGAACACCAGACTCCGTCTGCTGCCTTACTTCTGGAGCTGTGAAGACCGCCCTGTCTGCTGCCATTGTGGGCCAACTGCCCTGCCTGGACCCCCTGCCACTCCACCACTATAGAGCTGACACCATCTCACGACCGTAAGGTTTATAACGCATTAGTTTGTTCTCCCCACTGGTGGTGTGAGTGACCCACATCACAGCTGGAGAGCAACTATAGCGCGATATTCCAGATGTGGTTTGAGCTCTTTTGCCTACTCCTACTATTTTTCTTTTGTTTTTTTCGTTCTGGCCTAGGGACCTGCACCCTCAAAAAGTGTATTCGCCCTAAAGTTCCCACTGTAACTGTTCACCTCCCTCCCAGGAGATTGTGAACACGGAAGGGGGTCGGAGCAAGCACCCATCCCTCATCCTTACCTAACAGGTGTGACGCACTATCGCAAGAATGGACGACAAACGGATCTCTCTACCAACCTTCAACCACAACATCGAGGACTGGTTAATTCATGTGGAGGCAGCCCTCAGCGGCTCAGCAGCTAATGACGAGCAAAAGTACGTCGCCCTGCTCTGTTCCTCGCCCACGGAAGTCACCACGCAAGTCACAGAGACCATTACCAACCCTCCAGCAGACAACAAATTCGCTGCCCTGCGGGATGCTCTAAAGATGCATTATCAGCGTTCCCACACCAGTCTCCTGCAAAACCTATCCTCTCTCCCCCTCGGTTGCAACTCAACGCCTGCACATCTCTGGGACGAGATGTGTAGACTGAACTCCCGTCACACGGACAGGCTTCCCGACACTGTCCTGCGCCAGCTTCACGCACAGAAGCTCCCCACACAAGTTCGCATCACCCTGTCCTCAGTAGATTACTCTACGACACCGGATATCTACGCAACCTTGGCAGACAGAATATTTAACGAGTGCGCGTGCTGCACGCCTCGCCGCCGTGGACAACCCAACGGCCACACCATTACTTACCTCCGATCTTGTAAACCGGATCAACACTCCTCAGTCGAGCAATACCTCACAAGACATCAGGGATCTGCTGCAGTCTCTACACTGCAGGATGGACACCATTGAGCAGCTCTGCTCCTCCACGCCTGCTGCTGGGCCTGTTCCTGCCCCACGCACGGAAACCTACAAACCCCGACTTCTTCTCCCTGCCCCGGAAACCGCCGCCAGCTCCCAGCACAGCGGACCTACCCTCTGCTGGTACCATAAACGTTTCGGCGCCAATGCTAGACATTGTGAGCCCCCCTGCAACTACTTGGGAAATGGCATCAACGGGGATTGGTAGACGCCACAGCCTCCATCATTTCAGGCGTCTCACTACTGCACATCACCGACCACACCTCCGGCAGGAAATTCCTCGTCGATACAGGTTCATCGGTCAGCATCATCCCTCCCTCACTGCAAGACACATAAAAAGCAACCCTCTTACGTCTTGTTCGCTGCCAACGGTACCCCCATCGCCTCTAACGGCGCACACATCCTCACCTTAGACCTCGGTCTTCCCAAGACTCTGCGCTGGTCATTCGTGGTGGCAGACGTCTCTCAACCCACCCTTGGCTTCGAATTCCTCACCTTCCACAAGCTCGGCGTCGACCCAAGCCATCTCTGCCTCATCCCTGAGCTTACAGCAAGCACGATCCGGGGTGCACGATCCGGGGTACACGTGCCGCAGACACCGACACTATCACCTGCCTCTTGCCGTCCAACGAGTTCTCCCCCCTGCTCAAGGAGTTCAAGGAAATTTTCTCACCCCGAGTCTCTCCACCACCACCACTACCACCACCATCTACTTCGGGAATTTAACACCACATCGAAACTAAAGGACCTCCAGTCTACTCACGCCCTCGCAGCCTTTGCCCTGAGCTCCTGAACGCAGCCAACGTGGAATTCAACAGACTCCTACAAGACGGCATCATTCGACCTTCAAAAAGTCCCTGGGCATCGCCTCTTCACATGGTTCCAAAGCCATCATCCAACGACTGGAGGGTATGTGGTGACTACAGAGCTCTGAACCTCGTCCACAAACCTGACAGGCACCCTATCCCGCATGTCCAGGTCTTCCACCACAAACTCCATGGCAAGACCATCTTCTCGAAGATCGACTTGGAGCGTGCCTTCCGCCAGATCCCAGTAGCACCTGCAGATACCCAGAAAACAGCTCTCACCACTCCGTTCGGTCTCTTGGTCTCTTCGAGTATGCCTTCATGAGTTTTGGTCTACGCAGTGCAGACCAGACCTTCCAGAGGTACATGGACCAAATGATTCGCGACCTCGACTTTGTCACTGTCTACATAGACGACATTCTCGTCGCATCTCCGACGCCTGCCGAGCATCATCACCACCTACAGCTCCTTCTCCAACGCCTGCAGAGCAACAACATGAAAGTTCACCCTGCCAAGTGTGACTTCAGAGCCTCGTCCATCGACTTCCTCGGTCACAGAGTCTCGCCGAGCGGTATCCAACCCCTACCACAGAAGGTAACTGCCACTAGAGAGTTCCCCAAACCTGAAACAGCGAAGAAACTCCGAGAATTCCTGGGTTCAGTCAATTACTACCACCGCTTCATTGCCCACGCTGCTACCGTCCTAGTCCCCCTCTACGACCTTCTCAAAAGACTCCCCCAAGACGTCTCACAAGCCTCTCATTTGGACTCAAGAGGCTGTTACGGCATTCACCACTA